TACTAGGAGTAATGTCTGTATGTCATTTTACATTGTTTTTTTGCAGGCATATAAAGCAGTTGTTAATGATGCTACCATATTTAAACTTGAATTACCTTTGAAGCAGAAGGGGTAAGCTTTTTAAAAATATTTACATTTTTAGAGTATAATACATGTTACTGGATATGCAAGATGCCCTATTACGCTGTTAGGTTTGTGTTTGTCATTAGTATAATGATTTTTGCTGCCTTCGGCTGTTTTTTAAAAAACTCTCAATTTATAACTTCTTGTTAAAGTATCTCATTTTATGACCAAAAAATGTTGACTTTATTTTTTCAGAGAGAAAAAAATATTTTATTTCTATCTCTACTTGATTGTTTTGCCCTCATTAATCACTAAAAGTATTGTGTTACCTCTAAAAGCATAAAAAATGACTCAATTTACCGTAATGATATGAAAAAGGAAATCAATTTTTTTTTTTTTTTTTTTTAAGACAGAGTCTCACTTTGTCTCCCTAGGCAGGGTGCAGTGCCATCATCATAGCTCACTGCAACCTTAATGTCCTGGGCTCAAGTGATCCTTCTGCCTCAGCCTCCTGAACAGTTGGGACTACAGGTGCCCAACACCACGCATGGCTGATTTTTTCTGTGTTTTTGGTAGAAACAGGGTCTCACTCTTGCTCAGGCTGGGCTTGACCTCCTGAGCTCAAGCAATCCTGCCTCAGCCTCCTAGAATGCTAGGATTACAGGCGTGAGCCACTGTGCCTCACCAAAAAGGAAATGAATTCTAATGTAAAGTTTTGTATTACCATTCTGAATAATTGATCACTCATTCGTAAGACGAATTTGCCTATGCTGAGTACAATTTATAGAAAATTTAGCAGCTGAAATTTATGAAATAATAAATCCAAGCTATAGTACTTTCATAGTACTACTAAGTAGCAATGAAGGTTAATAGGCAAAAAAACCTTTTGGTGTAGTTTCTAGCTGAGAATTACTAATTTAAAGAAATTTTATATATAATGTTAAAACTTTTGGAAAGTATTGAAAAATAGCAGGAAAATCATTATTCACGTTTTTTCTATTAATTTTTTTCAGTTTGTCTTTTTTGAGCTGTGTAAGTTGCTTGAGTAATATTACAATGGAAGATGTCTGAGTCATACAGTATTTTGATACTTGACATATTTTAGAAGGGC